ACCAACAACCTTTGGAAGGGAAGGTAATTCACAAACATAAAAATGCTCTTTCAGCTGGGTGCCGTGTCTCATGCTTGTAATTGCAGCACTTTGAGAGGCTGAGACAGGTGGATCACCTGAGGTCAGGAGTTTGAGACGAGCCTGGCCAACAAACCCCATCACTACTAAAAATACAAAAAATTAGCCAGGCGTGGTGGTGGGTGCCTGTAATCTCAGCTATTTGGGAGGCTGAGGCAGGAGAATCGCTTGAACCCAGGAGATGGAGGTTGTAGTGAGCCAAGATCACACCATTGCACTCCAGCCTGGGCAACAAGAGCAAAACTCTGTCTCAAAAAAAAAAAAATGCTCTTTCAATGTCAGTTTATTATTTTGTCATAATAAAAAGAAGGGAATTGCATGCATGCATGCATTTATTCATCCATTTTTTCCATTAACAGTTTCTGATTACCTGCTATGAGCCAGGCATTGTGCTAAGTGCTGGAAGAACAAAATAAACAAGACCTGGTTTCCGCCTGCTAGGAGTTTACAGGCCAGTGGAGATGGCTGTCAAGATAATGTCTAGTCCAGTCAATGCTGTGCTGGAGCTGGCTCATTCAGGCTTACAAGAGCTGACTGTTAAATTTTTAGAAATTCTGTCAGTGCGTTGTAAAACATGGCCATTACTAAAAATTAAGTTATATGGTAGTTGGCTCCTTTTATTTGTGGATTCCATATTTGTGATTTGCTTACTCGCTAAAATTTATTTGTAGCCCCCAAATCAATACTTGTGGGCATCTGTGGATATGTACATGTGCAGACTTGCGAAAAATTTGAGTTGCCCGACGTGCACGTTCCCAGCTGAGGTTGAACAAGGGCTTCTTGTTTCAGCTTTCATACTATAAACAAGCATCCTTTTCTTTATATTTAGTGCCAGGTTTTTCACATTTTTCTGCTTTTTGTGGGTGATTTCACTGTTTAAAATGGCCCCCAATTATGGTGCTGAAGTGCTGTCTAGTGTTCCCAAGCACAAGAAGGCTGTCACGTGCTTTACGGAGAAAACATGTGTTAGAGAATCTTCATTCAGGCATAAGCTATAGTGCTGTGTGCCACGATTTTGATGTTAATGAATTGACAGTATATATTAAATAAGATAGCTTTAAATAGTAACACATATAAAACAAAGTTATGTATTAATCGGTTGACGAAAATGCTTTGACCAGAGGCTCACAGGAACCCAACTCTGTGTTTCTTCTAGAAATGTTGATTCAATATTTGCAGATTTAGTGTTTGCAGAAACTTTATAGAACAAAAATACCATGAATAATGAGAATTGACTGTATAAACTTACAGTAAAATAAATCATATTATACAAAAGGTAATAAATACTAAAAACTCTGCACTTCCTAATTATTTTGCTGCATACTCCTATTATCCATGATCTTGAGGTTATTTCTGTCTATTGTATCTGTATAGTAGAAATACTATAGAATGAGGGGGTGCTACTGTTCATTTCTCCCCAAACCCCCATGTTCAGTGACATCAAATCGGTAGTTTGACATTGGCCAAGGCGGGAGTATTTTACATCATGGAAATGGGTAACGGCTCCAAATCAAGGCTTTTTTTCCAAGCTCCCACCTGGTTGTTAAACCTTTACTAGTACAAAACTGCCTTCAATTTTTTTTTTCAGATGACTGTCCTTTGGCTCCTGGAGCCAACTTTGAGACACTAGAAAAGAACTTTAAGTTATAGGGAGTTGATCTCCTTGTACCTCCACCTCAGGTCCCTTAGCTAATGACTGACTGGTGTTCTCATGCCTCAAGCTTGGATTCACACTTCAGAGCATCCCACGGGATTCAGATGAGCTGTGACCCCACAAATGCTTGAGATCATACCCTTGTTTGGCTTCCTCCTGTTCCCAGTATTGCTGTTTTCTTATCCGTACTGGTTTCTCTTGGGAGCTCTTCCTTGATAAATCACTTGCACCCAAATCCAAGTCTAGGGTCTGCTCTTGGAGCACCCCATCTAAGACAGTACTCTAGCAAACCTGGGAAGGAGGTCTGCCACCTGGGGGTGTGTAGCTCAGGTTGACCCCAAAGATTGACTGATATTTCTTTTGATTTTCTGGTTCTAACTCTTCCTTAAGAAGCCATTGCTTTCTGATTTTATCCTTCAATTTAAATGTTTAAATGACTTGTAAACAGGCATGGATTAAAAGTTTTTCTGGTTTTGCAGTTGCCACTTATGTGCTTAAGACATTCACATTTTGATAAAATACGAAAGATCACTGGCATGTCCTTTACTCAGCTTAGCTTCTTGGTAGGCTGGCCTCTGCTGAGCTCAGCTAGTGGTCTTGAACTCTGACATGCAATAATACATCAAGTTTTCATCAAGTTCTTCTTAGCCTGTTGAGAAACAAAAACTCATAAGCAATGCTGCAATAACTTCCTTTGAAATTCTAATTGGCTCCAATGTGATAAAAAATATGATAAGCAGTCAGGAAGCCCACTGTGGTGTTGTATACAACAGGAATATGATTTCCTTCATAGTTTTTTTAAAATTTTCAAATTATTCTTGCTATAGAGTCAGCAAGTACCAGTTTGGATGCATGATCTGGGTAATTGTGCAGTAATTAAATGCTTGCCTGGGAAAACAATTTTAGAACACTGAATTGCTTTATTGCATTTTAAAAGGCTGAAAGGGGCATTCAATCAGGTAGAGACTATGTGTTTGTCTTCTAAACAAGACTTATCATAAATTATTCACATGGGCAAAGACTGAATTTGAAAAGGAAGAAACTTGGGGGCATAGGGCAATTATTGCTCCAACAGTCATTGTAGAGTTTAGTAGGCCTCATAAAAGGAGGCCTGTCTCAAAGATTCCTGGCAAGGTTTTGAGGATGAGGAAGAAGTGCTTCCTTAGCTAATCTGATTTTTTAAACTGAGACATACCACTCACTGCTGGGGGATTTTACTTACTCTCCTGGATGCCACTGTGGCTCAAACAGCTCTGTAAAAGAAAGGGTTCGCATCAACTTCTGCTCAATTATATCATTCAGAGGAAAGCATAAAAATATGACTTTGCAAAGTGTGACAGAGGCGAGAGAAATATTAGTATAAACACTGGGCATCACATGTATTACTGCACACAAGACAGATGCTTTACAGGGACTTTTAAGTATAATTATAATTTTGTATTTGCCCTAGAATTATTTTTATTAAGGAATAATTTACCTACAGTAAAATGCATAAATCTTGTGGATAGTTTGATGAGTTTTTCTCTATACACTCACGTAACTACCACACAAATAAAGACACAGAACAATTTCATCACCCCAGAAAATTTCCTCATTCTCCTTCCCAAATAACACCCTCTCCCAGAGGTAACCACTATTCTGATTTTTCAGATACAGATTAGGTTTATCTGGTTTTGAAATTCATATAAATAGATGTATTGTATTTTTTGGTCTGGCTTCTTTCATTTACCATAATATATTTGAGATTCATCCATGTTGCAGTATGCATCAATAGTTCATTCCTGTTTATTGCTAGGTAGTACCCAGTTGTATGGATGTACCATAGTTTGCTTATCCAATCTCCCGTTGATGAATTTTTCCTCAGTTTTTACTTGCTGTGAATTAAACTGCTATGGAACAGATTTTTGTACACAGTGTACACAACAGGGCTATTTGGGTACTTACTTCTTTTAGATATACACACAAGAGTGACATTGCTGGGTCTGCCTTTGAAATTTACCAAAAAGAAATAGATACCAATTGGAAGAGTTCAGAAAAAAATGATTGTCTTTCCAAAATATGTTCTTAGCAAGGTGAGAAAGAAACCTTGTACTGCCTGGTGACATTGTTTCAGCATTTAGACTTGGACGATTTCGAGTTACTGCTTAGCCATGGGGAATTAGAGAAACAGAATTCAGGTTCTTTCTTGATGAGCTGAATACAGGCATCGTATGTCTGAATGGATGGAAACGTTCAAGAGTCCATGCAAATGAATGCTTTGTACCTTCAAGGATTGGATTAATTTGAGACTTGTCACCAGGAAACAGGACTGTCTGGTTCACCTTGGGATCACCTTTGGCTGTGGATATCAAACTGTTTGGGGGAAAGGGTGGATTAGGAAACCTCAGTGCAGTCAAAGTGCCACGGGGCCACCAGAGGTGACCTAGTTGATCCCCAGGTGATAACATTTGAGATTTATTCTTTGCCAGCAACCCTCAGATAATGGAACAGGGCTGCAGACTAGCCTAACCACACACAGAACAAAGGGCTGACAGACTTGCGAAGGGGTTATGGCGCCCCCTGGGGGACACTGAAATGCTTCTCTTGACCTAACTTTCCCGTCTGAGGTCAAGTGCAACTTGTATTGATTGCATAACCTCTGAAACATCACTACTTCAGTAACCCTCTTCAAATCTTTCAAAATAAACTTAAAGTATTTGCAATTTTATTGGGAGCAACTCAATTCAGGGAAAGCTGAAGAGGAATATATGTGATGTGTAAGTTCTCACAAGATGGGAGGGGAAATCTTTTCTGGTTTATTTTATATTGTTTCTGGTAGAAAGACTTTACATGATTGGGTAATTTCTAATATTTACTTTGTTAATGAAGGTGGTAGGATAAGATGACAACTCCATCTGCAAAGCTATTGCAGGCAAAATGCCTCTCCAAAATGGCTGTGAGCCTTTTGTGTCTTGCTTGCTCAGGGTGTAAATGAGCGATTCTCAACCCACATCAGTACCACTCTCCCAGTGAGCAGTTGGAAGTGTGTGGGAGCATTTTTGATTGTCAGAATGACTGGGGTGTGGGGCGGGGTGCACTACTTCCATTTGCTGAGATGGAGGAGGGAGAGAAAACTTCAAGCATGAAGGAGAGTTGTCCCAACCGAAATACCAATAGGGCCCCTGCTGAGAAATCCTTCCCACCCCACCCCCCCCACCAACGCCCAGGTGATCTGGAGACATTTATATGCAATTCATATTGAGAAGGTTTAACTACACAAACAAAATATGTCAAGCAAGTGAAAGTTAACAGATTTAAGGAGCATATTCAGAAAGAAGTGTAGTTAAGCCTGTTTTTAAGCCTGTTTTTGGACATTTAGAGTATCCAAAACAGAAACGGAGCACTGGCCTTAAGTGGAATATGGAGGTGGAGGAATTTGTTTTCCAGGCTCTCCAGCATTTCTTTCTTCATCCTCTTCTGAACAATCGCTGATCCTGCTCCCCTTCTCCCCTGCTACTTGGGATTAGGAAGCAGCTGACAAATCCATTAAGTCGTGAGAATTTTCTATTACTCCTCCCAGCAGGATATCAGGAAGAGAAGACTCTCAAATGTTGAAATTTCAGATGTGGGCGAGGAAGGTAGGTGTTTTTGGCTGTGAGATCTTTCTAGAACTTCTTAAATTATTCCTGGGCAAGTAATAACTCATTTTCTTGTGGTGCTGGCTTTAGATGTGGAAACCAAAGTGTTAGCATTTGCTGTAACCACGGCAAGGAGACGGAAGAAGGATTGGATACCTTTGTAAATTTATTGGCAAATGAATGAGTTGAACAAGACTCCTTTGGAGTATATAGTTTGGAAGGTGGTGTGTGTGACACTGCTTTGTAAACTTTAAAGTACGATGCAATTTTGATATATTTTAATTATGCCAAAACTTCCTTGAATTTCTCAAAACACTAAACTCAGAATCTTACACAAAATATCCATTCAGTAAATGCATCCCAAATGGAACAAATATTAGGCATAAGTAGTGGCAGTGGAGATTATGGAACAGGGTCTCATGTTGCCATATCTATCAAGGGCTAACATGCCTCTACTTGGATGGGACTATTCACTTAGAAGGAAATCTTGCTACAGTATTCTTTTGGCTTCCATTAAACATTTTGGGAATGTTTAAAGGGAGGGAATTCTCACTTTTCCTTTGTGAGCAAGTTTGATGATAGATCTCCCTCAGGCTTCTGAATAACATGAAATTATTCTGTATCTGTTTAATGTACAAAGGAAGGACTGGGGGGACTACCAATAGTGTCATCATTATCCATGAGAATCTAATTATAGGAGCCCTTGCGATTGTTGAACTCAAGATTGCAGGATCCACATGTTAGGGATATCCTGATCACTTCCTTCCTTGGTTGGGAGAGAATTAGAAAGGACAAGATCTTAAACATCTTCCTACATTTATCAAGCAACCATCATGCCAGTCACTATACTATGCACCAGGGACATGAAAGTGAGTATGACACAGTCACTGCCTCCTTGGTGGTCACAGTCTGGGGAGGGTGTTGGCCAAGGAGTCTCTCTTAAAAATTCCCATGCCCAAGTCACACTCCCAGTTTTATAAAATCAGAATCTCTGGTGGTAGAACCCAGACTTTAATATTTTTTAAAGCTCCCCAGGTCATTACAAAGTACATCCCAGGTTGAGAAACATTGAGAAAGAAATCTGTAAAGGGAAATTTTAGATTAAAACACGACAAGTGCTTGGCGGAGGTAAAAACCAATGTGTAGCTAGAGGAGCACAGAGAAGAAACAAACTCTTGCATCCAAGAAAAGCTCTCCGTCTATGTCATCAAGAGAATTAGAAGAGCGCTAGAAAGTGGTGAATTCTGAACATAAGAATAAGGTGGCATCTGAATCATTTTCTGATGGAACAAATTTCCCTTTGCATATTAATCATTATTCATGATGGGGGATGTGAAAGCAAGAGTTGATAATTCGTGCACTACACTTCCTACTCCTTTCTTCTTTTTGCCTCGCTACCCTTTCCTTATTATAACCTGTGGCATATATGTGGTACATTGAATGCTAGGTAAAGGTTAGTGGTTGCTAATATATTAAAAGAAAAAGGGAAAATGAAAGCTTAATGTTTCTCTCTGCTTGTGATAAAAGCACATGAATACGCTATGTGGTGCAGTCATGTGACTAAGCCTAGACCTCAAAATCATAAGCAATGGCCTTAACATATTAAACTGATAACTCTAAATATATTAACTGTGTCCTCACAACACCCCTCTAAGAGAAGTATTATCTCTGGCTCATGGGTGATGAAACTGAGGCCCAGAGAGGTTGACTAATTTTCTAAAGCCCATGTCTATTTGGTGGTACACATGAGATTAAAATCCATGTCAGTCTGACTTGAAAGGGGTGCTTCTCAATTTGCATGTGAGCTTGTTATGCCATGTGAACATGTTGATGTATTTATGGGATATATCTTAATATCACAGTGAAATAATAGAGCTGCTGGCTAATTTAGCGGTTTTACCAATACCGCTATTACCACCTCCATCACTGAGTGTGGATCCGTTGGATGAAGTCCTGAATAAATCACATTGGAAAGGGGAAATGTCTGGTAGGAAAAGTGATTTGAGGGTTTATTGGGCTCTAAGATTACAAAAATCATGAGCGTTATAGAGTATCTAATGGAGTTTTTAGTGAAAAACACAGAACAGGATTTAATTGTGCATTTTAGAGGAACAACCTTCTGAAATGTGAAACCAATTGGCTACAAAGTAGAGACTCAATGCCACAAGATCCTTAAAATGATCTGAGTGTCTGAAAAATAAAAACAGAATGAAAAGTCAACTAAATTCTAAAAAGCAAACAAAAGACAGAAGCCTGGGGATTGCCCCATTTTCCCCTTTCTCTTGAAGAAAACTAGTGAATGTAGTTTTGAAAGCTTTGCTTTAAATTCTTGTAGCGGAGTAATATTTAGATGGTAACCCCTGCATGATCCATCCACAGGAATTTATTTATTTCTCTCTTTTACCATTCAGGCAGCAGTGAAGCCTTTCTATACAGATTGCCCCCAAGGTAAGGTAGTTATAGCAAGAAAATAGAAAGAAATTACTTTTCCCAGCTTTTGAGTTTCTAAGTAAATTTTTAAGGTTTTGAGCTTTACCAGCATAGTTTTTAACACTAGCAGAGCCAAAGTTTCTGCTATAAACCAGTTCTCAATCTTCTCCTTGCATCAGAATCATCAGGGGATGTTGTAAAGCCTAACACTGTCTGAAGTTCACCTGCAAAGACTTAGTTTTAATTGATTTTTGTTGGACATTCACATATATATACTACCCAGAGGATGCATTGTGCAACTAGTGTGGAGACCCAGTATCTTAAACACTTGTTTCCAAACTTTGTTGCACATTAGAATCACTTGGGAGCTTTTACAATCCCCAGCGGCAAGGCTACACCTATCCCAAATCCCCGATGCCAAGGTTGCTCCCAGGCCAATTATATTAGAATGTGTGGAGGTGAAAGCTAGGTGTCTTAAACAGTATATTTGGGAAATATTTCTGATGAGACTTCTACTGGGTTATACTTTGACATTTCCAGAGGCTGGCAAGTGAGAGGAAAGTAGAAAGGAGAGAGAGAGTAACTTAGACATTGGTGTATCCTTAAGAAGGGGTTCAGTGACCCCTGAACCACTCGTCCCTGTCCTTGTCAAGTTACGATGTTGGCACAGGCAGTGGTGTGCCGGTAAATGTTTAAAAGATAGTTCCCCAAGGGGAAAAAAATCCCCTAATTTGTAGTTCATCAATTTTTGGTGTAAATACTCCCACTATGGCCAGTTTCAAGTTGCCAGTGTGACGTCATTGATTGTAAAGTTGGAAAGAGATGCACACAGTTGGCTCTAGGAAGCCCGTATGAGCTGGCTCCAGCATGCCACAGGGTATGAGCATGATAACCCCTCAGATATGTTTGGGGATATGAAGGTAGAGAGAATCTTGTGCTTTATTTTCAGGCATGAGACAGAGAAGGGATGAAAGAGCCTAAGTTCTCCCCACAATGTGTCATCTAGAGTGGAAGTGGGGGCACATCTAGGAGAGCCTAGGTAGGAAGGGCAAGAGATCACCTCTCAAGTCTCTTGTTGCTTTCCAGTGGAATCAGAGAAGATCCAGATTTTTCTGTACCCCTGAGAGTATGATGGAAGTGGCTAAGCATAGGCTGGAAGAATTCAAGGAGGCTTGAGGTTAGAATGAGAAAGCCATGAAGAGTTTTGGACGATTGGCTACAGATGCAAATGTTGGAGGGGAACAAGGATAAAAGCCAGTAACAGCTGAGAATCAGATGCCACCTCTTGAGGGCATAATGCTACTAACCTCTACAACCCTTGGAGAAGTGACAGAAAGGTCTGGGGAAACAGAAGATGTGCTGGCTATTATTCATTGCACAGAAGAGGTTATTACAGGGACTGCAGCCAGAATCTCTTTCTTCCTCTCTCTTTTGTTATTCCTTGGTAGAAGCCAAGATTTTATCTTGTTAGAACTATTGAAACATTGCAGTAGGATGTTTTTCTTCTTTCTTGTTTCTGGAAGAAGTAACGCAATATTTTGCAAATTCACTTTGAAAAAGACTGGCATGTCCCAAGTTCGCTGAGGTGACCTTCCTGAAGGTTGATGTGAGTAGGACAAGATGGAACACCTTATAGAATTGCACATGCAAACATACTGCTTAGGATAGGGGTGTCACAGGAGACTCTTTGCTCTGTCTTTGGGATGTGCATTGATGAACCTCTTTTCTGCAATTTGTGGTTACCTAATGGGTAGTGCTCATTGGGCGCCTAGTGATGTTTATGTTAGTTCTGGCCTTGTGCACAGTGATTCTCACATGATGTGAGTGGTAGGATCAATGTTATTAGGAGAGACTGAACAGCAGAATGAACACCAGAGTGGGGATCAGATCTAAATTCTCATCCTGGTTCTATACCAGTTGTGTGATCATGGGCAAAGCCTTAATCTCTCTGAGCTACTTATATTATCAATGATCCCTTATTGCAATGTGCTTATTGAAACAGCATATAATCCTGCTACTTTATTTCTTATTTTATAGGATTTTTTTGGACAGTTCATCCCATTCCAGGTACTTCCCCATTTCTCCATTGACGTTTGCAACAAAATTCCTTGAAAGACTACTGTATAGTTGGCGTCTTCACTTCCTCATTTGACAGTTTCTCTTGGTCTAGCCTTGTTCTCCTCTGCTCCACTGAAACCATTTTGTGGAGGTCATCAATAACTTTGATGTTACCAAGTCCACTGTTTAATAGGCTCATCTTCTCATCTCAGCACTTTTGACTCAGGTGTTGACTCCTCCCTTCTTGAAACATCTTTTTGCTTGGCTTGTGTAGCACCACACTCTCCTGGTTTTCTGTCTACCTCACTGGTGGTTTCCTCTTTTGTTGCTGGTTCTTCTTCCTGTTCCAAACCTTTAAATGTTGGAGTGCTGTTCCATTTTCACACTGCTATAAAGATACTTCCTGAGACTGGGTAATTTATAAACAAAAGAGATTTAATCGACTCACCGGTCCACATGGCTATGAAAGCCTCAGGAAACTTACAACCATGGTGGAAGGTGAAGGAGAATCA